TAATTTTTTGTGGTACTTTCATTAATATTCCATTTTGATACGAAAGTGAAATTAAATGGATAATTATCTGTTTTGTCAATGTTATTTTATTTTTAAATAATATATGTATATCATTTCCTTCATAACGTTCACATAATTTATCATTTAATTTAGACCAATGTGAAAATGAAGTATTTAGTGAATCATTAAGATTAAAACTTTTCTTGTTCGAATTGTTAACAGAAATTGAGAAAATAAAATTATTATTAGTAGTAACTTTTGTATCACCACATGTTATATGCATCGACAAGTAGAAATAATTTGATGCTCAACCAAATTTTCTATAAAATCATATTTAGTACAAAGAGCTACAACAAAATCAAATGCATCTCGTTTAATACTAGTCGAAAAATACTCCTCCTAGATATTTTCGTACTGCGTAGGTACTCAAATTAAGTACTCCGTTTTCATATCGATGCGCTAATATATTTAAAACATTTCGTTTATCAGAATTAAATAATTGATTTCTAATAATATTTAAATGAAGTAAACATTGTAATGTAGCATTGGCATAGCATGAAACTTTGTCAGTATTTTGAAAACCATGTATAACCCAAGAAGTAGTACTTTGTCGAACTTTTTGCTCTAACTATTGAACGGAAGTTATTATTTTCGGTAATGTCCATGGTACATCTTTAATTTTACGATAACTCTTATGAAATAGTAACAATTTGTGCTTCTGGTTTATGTAGTCGTTTTAGCCGATTATATTCAATAATTGCTTCTTCACTAACTATTATAGATGAAGGATCATAATTAATCAAATACGCATTAAGGTTCACTTTCGTTGCTAATTTTACTTTAATTTTATATTAAAATTAGAATTCTATGAAGGTATTGTGAACAGCAGCTTAATGGACGCTTTATATACCTACATGTTACACGTACAGATGGTGACAGGTATGCCATAACACCTGAAATTGTACGAGTATTGGGAGACATTCAGAGTACGTTAATGTGTCCCAATACTCGTACAATTTCAGGTGCTAAGGCATACCTGTCACCGTCTGTACGACTGAAAAAATTTAAAAAGCTGAAATCCCTTTTTGGAAAACGATCTCCAAATTTCGGTATCGGCTGCACCAATTTTATTCGGACTGGTCGCAATCGGATTTATAAGACTATCCGATCAAATTCATCGTATAGTCCTGTAAATCCGATAAATTTGATCGGATAGTCTTATAAATCCGATCAAAATCAATCGGAAATATCCGTTTGTTACTTTTTGAACGGACATTTTTCTCAGTGCATGAATATATACTCAATAACGTTCACACGCGATCAAGCGGTCTGTTTTATATTTTATACACTTTTAATTTAAAAGTGAAGGCCACAGTACAGACTTTTGCATAACGCATAACGCATAAGCGAATCAATTAATCAGAATCTTCCCTTTCCTCCCATTCCATGGAAAAGAAGAATTTCGATTGGTTGATTCCCTTATGCACTATGCATTATGCGTTATGTAAGAGTCTGTGCTGCGGCCATAACTTATTAAAGCATTAAAGTAATTATACATGGGCTGCGTTCGGGGAGCGCACTATCAACGCTATTTGTGTCATACTATCCTTGTTTCACGTTTAATTGATGATGAAGATAGAATGACACAAATAGTGCTAATATCGTCTCTCCGAACCCACCCAGTGAAATGTCGACATATAATACAGTGCTAATGAAACTATAGATAAATAAATCGGTAAATGCCAGCAATAAACGAGTGCCATCTACCGTTGAAAATATGAAAAGGAGATGACTTTTTGAGGCGATGACGTATCTTACAAACATATAATTCTGACATTTCGGATTTCGCATCACGATATCTTCATTCGTAGGACTCGTAGAGGTAAAATAAACGCTTATTATATAATTCGGACCCAAGCTGTCGATTGAGCTCATATTCAGAACTCGATCGGTTTAGCCTTTATTAAAAAACCGATAATTTCGGATGTTCGCAATTCGCTGACTTGCGTAAAGACACGGGGTCTCGCGCTGCGCGCCCACATGGCGCTAGACACTACCGTGTCTTTTGATAGTAATTATTGTTTAAATCTACAAATCGCAAAAGTTTTTATCTGTGTGTATCTTGCGTGATCATCATTCTTCGTCAGTATTTGAGAACTATATTTTGCGATTTGCGAATTATACATAGAGGCACCTTTAATGCAACGATTTTAGAGGAGAAAAGATGTCATTCAAATGACATCTACATACAAAAATTTCTAAATCTGACCTCTTATACATGGTGAACAGACTCCTAAATTAATATGTACATAAAATTAAAAGAAATAATTGTAGGTATACTGTTAAAATAAATCTCATTTACTTCCTTAAAACCTTTTAGGGATTGGATTACAGAAATCGTCCCATTAATTAGATACGGATGAAAGATCTCATTATGTTTCCTCTTTTATTCTATCCTATTTTTATACAGAAAATTAAACTCTGCGGTCTTTGTCTAGTTATATATGGCGGTGTCACGTAATTGCTTACTAATAGAGGTGATATATACAGAGTGTCCCGACCTTTTTTTGTCAATCACTTTTGTGTAGATAGAGCGGACTAAACTGAGTCGAACAGTCCTTTATCATTTTCCAATTTTCGCAATAGTTAACAAGATATTAATTACTAAAAATTGCAAAATATTGGTCTTAAATA